AATGCCAGCCGTGAGAGAGAGAGAGAGAGAGAGAGAGAGAGAGAGAGAGAGAGAGAGAGAGAGAGAGAGAGAGAGAGAGAGAACGTGTAAGACCGTGTGAGAGAGACAGTAAGACAATGTGTGTCTGTGTGTGCGTGTGTGTCGTAAACTGTCTTCCTACCCAGGATGCATTTGACTCCACACAGCATAACTGTGCCAGACTGTACACAACTCCTCACTGCAGGACTGTGCCAGACCCGGCTCAGCAGGAGGATGGACCCCGAGAGCCTGCCGATGATTCATTTGACTGATGGATCAGGACTCACCAAAACCCGTGGCATTTTCAACAACCACTCCTTTGTGGCTCCCCTGCGGGGCCTGAGTCGTATTATACACTTATTGTGGCCTGCATGTGGATAGTAAATACTAAATACAAACTTAGGTCTTTGAGAAAAACAGTGTATCGGCTGGGCAAGGATCTCAAGTGCCCAGAAACGGGTACAACGTTCTATAAACCCAGCAACTATCATCGATCGCTGTGCCTTCGTCACGTCAAAGAGAACCATGACGGATGGAATGGATGACTCCAAGCGAAATAAAATGTAAATGGACTCGGGCGCAGCGTTGACTGTTGCCACTGTGAAGCGGCCGCGGTACCTATCACCCAGAGTTAGCGATACGCCCGAGAAATGTAGTTAACTTTACCCACACCAACCCTGCAATCCCTGCAATCCTAGCAGACTGTCAGATCAAACCCCTGATGAGAATGACAGTAAGTCTGAGAGACTACCTTCATCCCCCGAATACAGCGTACGGTCATTACAGCCGTATTTGGGGTATATTTCAGTCTAAATACAGCTATAATGACCGTACGTTGTATTCGGGGGAAGAAGGTAGTCTGTCACAGCCAATAAACCCGTGCTACACACCCACTCAGCCATGCATACTGTTACATGCACAGATATGTGACTGTCTCTTATACACATCTAGATGTGTATAAGAGACAGCTCTCTCTCTCTCTCTCTCTCTCTCTCCACACATACACAGCCACACAGCCACAGACAGGGCTATTATATAAAGTCGATGGTCAACTAATTGATTGACTTGATAATATACAACAGGTTAAATATTCACAAAACAACCGACACTCAGTACATGACAAATTTCGATTTTGTGTTTTGGAAAACTTCCTCTGCTGCTGATTTCCCTTTGCCGTCCACTTGTTTAATCTCCATGCTGGCCTTCTGGTAGTAGGCTGTTCCCCTGATAGCGTCCGCTATGAAGTCATCAAATCCAACGGCCACTGCTGCTTCCGCCTCTGCCCCATAGACGAGCCGCTTGATCCTGGACAGGTGGACGGCTCCAAAGCACATAGGACATGGTTCACAAGAGGCATAGATCTCACAGTCCGCCAAGTCGTACCGCCCAAGTTTCTGGCATGCCTCTCTGATCGCAGTCACTTCGGCATGCGCAGTTGGGTCGACGTTCTTCAGTACCATGTTATGGCAGCAGGACACAATTTCGCCATCGCGAACAACAACGGCACCGAACGGACCACCGTGACCAAGACGGACGCCTTCGTATGCCTCCGCCACTGCCTTGGAGATAAAAGGGAAATCTCGATCTTCAATCGCTTCCTCATGAACCTTCGCAAATCCTTCGCCAACAGACGGCCTTTGGTTGGTAACATAACCCCCATCCACCCTCATCGTCCTTTCGGAGCCAGTTGTAGCAGCTGTGCTTGCCGATGAAATCGACACACGCTCCTCCCTAGCCACCCCATTCTCCTCAACCCCAACTGAAGCAGTGAGAGACATCTCTCTCTCTCTCTCTCTCTCTCTCTCTCTCTCTCTCTCTCTCTCTCTCTCTCTCTCTCTCTCTCTCTCTCTCTTGTGAAGCTCCACACTCAACTTTGTGCTTTGCTTTCTGTGAACTACCACAGCCTTCTATCCGCTCTTTGACTATTTCGGGCCGAGTTCGTGTCCCTTCTGTTTCACTCTGCTTTCACGTATACTCCGTGGGAATCTTATCGTCGCCCATTCACATCTCACAATTGCTCAACTGCACACATGGGAAAACATGGCAGGCAGCAACGCTGTTTTGTCACAATCTGACCGTTGTCTGCTGAATCCGGGGCCGCTTTCTCTCCTGGGCTAGGAAAACACATGCAGATGAGATTTGTTCATGGCTCTGTCCAAGACACACTACTCCATTCACTTTCACAGCCCACCCAGCAAAGGAGCAAGCGGGCGGACAAAGAGTAGGATAAGGAGCCGTATATGGCAGCAAACTTCATCAAAAGCAGGCAGAAATATGCAAAATTAAGCTTATTCTTTTCCAACTTTCAAGATATCCAATTGATGCAGACAATGCCAGCCGTGAGAGAGAGAGAGAGAGAGAGAGAGAGAGAGAGAGAGAGAGAGAGAGAGAGAGAGAGAGAGAGAGAGAGAG